TTTAAGTTTTTTGTAGACACTTTGTCCATAAAAAAGCACAGAAAAAGGGTTTTTTTTGGTTTTCCTGGCGTCAGGGCCTCGTATAGAGTCAAATTAATCTGGGGATGCCCACCGCCCCCAAACTCACGCCCTAGCATAAAAAAAGCGACCTAGTAAATTTTTGCTTCCTTTCCCCTTTCTCGATGAACAAAGCAAAAGTTGATTTTGCTGTCTTAAACATAGACAAAAGTCCACTATTTTTACCATGGTAAAAAGGGGAGCAGGTTTCCTTTAATTTTCCTGCTAAGTAAGAATGTACTGTCTCTTATAAAAAAAACACTTTTAACACCGCTGCAAGGAAGAGGTCACTTTTACTACGTTTGGTAGATCTGGATAATTCTCACTGTAGCAGTAAACAAGACGCTCGCCCCCCTGAGAGGGCTTGGCCCTCAGGGTGAAAGGGGCTGAAGGGGCTGAAAGGGCTGAAGGGGGCTGATACCCCCTCCTGGAGAAAATTTCTCCACAGAGGGCCTTGATTTAGGGAAATTTAATCTGGCTCCAGTTCCCCGAATTAACCAATGCCCCCCACATCCCCCCCCCCTGGGGGGCTGTAAATCCAAGGGGTTTTTCCCCCTTCCCCCTTTATATAAATAATAATCAGGTGTAGACAGTATTTCTTGGGCCCTTTGTCTACAATCCTGGAAGAAATGTATGAAGACATTACTAATGATGCCACTGTTGGCTCCCAAAACAAACCCAGTCAGAAAATGACTTTTAATATTGTTATTCTGATGGGAGGAATATACTGAAGTAGGTCATTCTTGCTGGTAGGCTTGCAGCAAACTTTGAACTTGAAGTTCGAAGTCAAGAAACTAGAGGATGTTGTATCTTTCTTCTAAGACTATAAATTGTATTGAATGTTCAACCTTGTTATAACTACTTCTGTAATTCTCAAGGTTGAAGCATCTGGGCGTGATTACCAGGTCGTCATCCACATGTGAGGTTTGAAGGGATGATGCCGGAGAATCTTCCTACTTCTGGGTACCCCATATAGAGGTCGGCAAGGACAGCACTAATGGGTGATCCCATGGCCTACCTTATTCGTCAAAATGTGCTGAAGAAAAACAGTTAAAATTAATGTACAGTTTGGTGAGATCTCAAAGGAAGACCTCACTTCCAAAGCAGCTCCATGCCTGGCCGTGCCTTCATTGGTAGTAAATCTGTAGCTTGATCTGAAATGACCTTGATAAGTAGTAATGTGATAGCGAGGCTGGCCAGTTTCGTCTTTACTTTGGTGTTTTTGCCCATGTTAAGTACGTCTCCTGAGTCACAAAATATATCTGAAGTTGAAGTTCCAATCTTTTCACTGGAGGACTCGTGATCCAAGATATTCGATCTACCCTTCCATTGGATCAAATTTGATGATTACCCATCCCCCCTTATAGGCTTGTCACTTTCCCAGAATTATAAAGAATTCCTTCTCCCTCCTCGCCCAGAGTAGTGGGGAGGAGGGATGGTGGAGGTGGAAGAGTTGTGATGGAGAAAGCAAGGAAGGAGTGTCCTGTTTAGCAAAATTGGATATATCGACAATGGAGGAGTGATGGTGGTTATGAGAGGTGGCGTTGGTTGAGCAATGTTGTGGTTACGGGGGAAGGGTTGTGATAGTTGAGGAGAGGTGGGGATGAAGGGGTGTGCTGGGCGGTGACAGGTGACATACGTTGCCTATTATTCCCAGCACTCGTCTTAACCGATCCCTCCCTCCCTCCCTCCCTTTCTCCCTCCCTTTCTCCCTCCCTTTCTCCCTCCCTTCCTCCCTTCCTCCCTCCCTCCCTCCCTCCCTCCCTCCCTCCCTCCCTCCCTCCCTCCCTTCCTTCCTTCCTTCCTTCCCACTATTTTATGTTAACTCGCATCCTTCATTCCTCGTACACTCTCCTTCATGACGCACACTCTTCTCTGTTTAATTTCTTGCCTTTTCTCCCATCAGTGTTCCAATGGGACAAACAACAGCCGTTCCTCCTAAAGTTTGGCTCCGTTCATAAGCCTTATTCTGTAAAAGTGCATTCTGTCGTCCCCGTGGCTCATTAGTGTTTACCTTGAATATATGCTCGTGGTGTGGTGCCTCTCATATCAGTCTGCCCTTGTATCTGTCAGTGCCCCAGAGTACTAGCTGAGGTTTGTATGCTCGCTTAACTCCCAGCTGATATGATTTCTGTGTGCCCGGTGGTCTGGTGGCTAAAGCTCCCGCTTCACACACGGAGGGCCCGGGTTCGATTCCCGGCGGGTGGAAATTCCGACACGTTTCCTTACACCTGTTGTCCTGTTCACCTAGCAGCAAATAGGTACCTGGGTGTTAGTCGACTGGTGTGGGTCGCATCCTGGGGGACAAGATTAAGGACCCCAATGGAAATAAGTTAGACAGTCCTCGATGACGCACTGACTTTCTTGGGTTATCCTAGGTGGCTAACCCTCCGGGGTTAAAAATCCGAACAAAATCTTATCTTATCTTATCTTATCTTACCTAAGTATGGGGTATTTTATTTAAGTTTCTTTTACGGATTCAGTAGCACCTAATTCAGTTGTAACTACTGAAAACGAAATGACCACCAACCAAAACACCTGAAATTACGGTCATCAGAAAAAAACCAAGTCAGTCGAGTCGGCACTATGCCAGAGGCATTTGCAGAAGTGGACCAAATGGAAAAGGAAATGGAACTTGTCAATGCTATCATCCAAGAGAATTATCTGGAGAGAGTTTATCTGGAGAGAGTTCCGGGGGTCAACGCCCCCGCGGCCCGGTCTGTGACCAGGCCTCCTTAGGTCAGTGTCCCAGGATGCGACCCACACCAGTCGACTAACACCCAGGTACCCATTTTACTGATGGGGAACATAGACAACAGGTGGAAAGAAACACGTCCAATGTTTCTACTCTGGCTGGGAATCGAACCCAGGCCCTCACCGTGTGAAGCGAGAGCGTTAACCACCAGGCCACCAGAGCCATAATATCCTGAATAAAAGCACTTGCAGTTTCAGGAACTGCAAATGTTAACTGTGGGTTGAATAGGAAAACTGTATAGTTGACATTGCTCTGGCAAAGTTTGTTGCAGAGATAATATGTGGGAACTCCGTAGACGTGTAGTATGGCCTCTGGCTGGTGTCTCACTTTGAACTGATGCCGGCGGCTTAATATGGGCAATGCTCAGATGTGTTCAGCCATGTAAAGTACTAGAGGGACTATGACACAAGCTGTTCTGTAAACTAGAGATAATGCTATGTTTCAAACTATCCAGTATAGTATAGGAAAGGAACAAGGCGTATAAAGCAACATTAACATCAAACTGAATATGAAAACAAAAAAAAAAAACCATACAAACAGTGGGTAGTCTTGGCTCTCAGCCCCACCTCTCAGTGGGGTAGTCTTGGCTCTCAGCCCACCTCTCAGTGGGGTAGTCTTGGCTCTCAGCCCCACCTCTCAGCTTGCTACATGTAGATTCACTCCTATCTAGCCTCGTGGTCCCTGTCATACCTGCTATTAAAACTATGTACGGAGCCTACTTCCACCACACCTTCAAGGTAATTCAACTTCCTCATCACCCTCAGGCTGAAGAAATTCTTACTGACATTCCTGTGACATATCTGTGTCTTTAACTTCCAACTGTGCCCCCACGTACCTGTTTCTCGCCTCTTAAAACGTGTATCGCTGTCTACCCTATCAATTTCCCTGAGTATTTTCTGTTATGTCTCCCATTGTTCTTTTCTCTAACATATTCACGTTCATTTTCTTTAGCCTCTCATAGTTCATACTTCTTAACTCAAGCAGTAGTCTCATTGCATGCCTCTGCACTTTCTTCAGTTTCATAACATTCTTCATCAGGTGTGAGTTCCATGTTGAACCTGTGTACTCCAAAATGATCCTGACATATGTTGTATAGAGGATTTTGAATGACTGTTGAGATACCAAAAATCTACCCTTAGATTTGTCAGACAAACATTGGCTACAGATGTTATTCGGTTGTGCGCCTCCACCGATATGCTGGGCACTATGATCACTTCTAGGTGTTTATGTGTGTGTGTGTGTGTGTGTGTGTGTGTGTGTGTGTGTGTGTGTGTGTGTGTGTGTGTGTGTGTGTATTCACCTAATTGTGGTTACAGGGGTCGATTCATAGCTCCTGGCTCCGCCTCTTCACTGGTCGCTACTAGGTCTACTCTCTCCCAGCTCCATGAGCTTTATCGTACCTCTTCTTAAAGATGTGTATGGTACCTGCCTCCACTACCTCACTTTTCAGACTATTCCACTTCCTGACAACTCTATGACTGAAGAAATATTTCCTAACATCCCTGTGGCTCATCTGAGTCTTCAACTTCCAATTGTGACCCCTTGTTGTTGTGTCCCATCTCTGGAACATCCTGTCTCAGTCCACCTTGTCGCTTCCTCTCAGTATTTTATATGTCGTTATTATGTCCCCCCTGTCTTCCAGTGTCGTCAGGTCGAGTTCCCTTAATCTTTCCTTGTAGGACATGCCCCTTAGCTCCGGGATTAGTCTCGGTGCAAACTTTTTGACTTTCTCTAGTATTCTAACGTGCTTGGCCAGGTGTGGGTTCCAATTTGGAGCTACATGCTGCAATATGGGCCTGACGTACACGGTGTACAGGGTCCGGAACTACTCCTTACTGAGATACCGGAATGCTGTTCTTAGGTTCGCCAGGCGCCCGTATGCTGCAGCAGTTATTTGGTTGATGTGCGCCTCGGGAGATGTGTTCGGTATTATACACACTCCGAGATCCTTTTCCTTAAGTGAGGTTTGTAGTGTGTGTGTACTCACCTATATATCGTTGCAGGGGTCGATTCACAGTTTTCGACCCTGCCTCTTTGCTAGTCGCTACTAGGTCCACTCTTTCCCTGCTCTTAGAGCCTAATCGTACCTCATTTTAGAGCTATGTATGGATCCTGCCTCCACTGTTTCACTCTCCATATTTTTCCACTTTCTGTGTAGGTGTGAGAGGGGGGGGGTAGGAGACATTACCTGCAGTAAAGTTGGTATCCGGCTGGGGCAGTTCTATCTGGTTTACCCACTGCGTGTAAACAAGAGGCTCCTCCAGGCGTAGGATGGCTATGTCGTTCTCATAGGTAATCCTGTCAAAATTATATCATTATTTAACAAACTAAATTGTATTGATTATTCAAATCGTCTGACAAGAATATATTAATTATACATTTCCAACAACCTCTATCAGGCAGGGCAGGTGTTCACACAGTGCTTCCTACGTTACCTGAAAACTTATCTTAGTTCAGCTTGAATCTTTCCAACAAGTCCAGATTATTATTATATTTCTGGGCTTAGCACTACTTGTAAATAAAATCATAATAATTATATTCATGGAAAGCATTAATTCCGCATAGGTTACAGAGAGTTCCAACAGATGTGCAGTTTCTTACACATGAAAGCTCCACTATCACACAAGTTGGACCATTAGTTAATTAAGATAAAATAAGATTTTACTCGAATTTTTAACTAGGAGGGTTCGGCAGCCAGGATAACCCAATAAAGTCAGTGCGTCCTCGAGGATTATCTGCCATATTTCCATTGGGGTCCTTTAGTCTTGTCCACCCAGGATACGACCCACACCAGTCGACTAATACCCAAGTACCTACTCGCTTGCTAGGTGAACAGGGCAGCAGTTGAAACATGCCCAATGTTTCCACCAGTGCCGGGAATCGAACCACGGACACTCGGTATCTGAGCTATATGCCCTGCCAACCGAGACACAACAGAACATCACAGCACATGTGGAAAATACTGTATATATTTACGGAAATACAGTATTTTATATGTAAATTGATGGTTTATATTGTATTTAATAAAAATTATATTATAAAAAATGGGAAGCTCTGCACCTGCGCAGAGGTCACTCGCCATTGTGTTTTTGAATGAGCCAAGAAAACGTTAGTGAAAATAAGAAGAATTTTCGTCGCTCTAGAGGTTATATTGGGTTTACACCTCTCAAATAGGAGCCGAAATTGTTGGATGTGCATTTCTGCATAATTTGAACATTAAATCGATGTACAGGACAGCTCCAGGAACCTCAGATAAGGTGTTGATGGAGGTAATTCACGGTAGTGTAATTATGAGAAAATATGAGTAGGTAACTTACGGGTCATAGAATGGATGTTCAATGATGAAGCTGATGTGTTGCACCTGCTCATCCCCGTCCACCTGGTGAAGCTCTTGCTCCCCAGCCACCACCTGCAACACACACACATACTCATACATAGATATAGGTGAGTACATAACATTGTGATATAACACATCAAGCCATATACCCCAGATGTTCTACATAGTAGTTGTCCATTAAGCCTTCCATGCAACTTCGATTTTGTTGCCATTTGAAAAATAAAATTTAATTTATAAGAAATTACAACATACAGTATTTGAATAGAATATATATATATATATATATATATATATATATATATATATATATATATATATATATATTATATATATATATATAATATATATATATATATATATAATATGTCGTGCCGAATAGGCAGAACTTGCGATCTTGGCTTAAATAGCAACGCTCATCTTGCCATATAGGACAAGTGAAAATTTGTGTATGCAATAATTTCGCCAAAATCATTCTGAACCTAACGAAAAAAATATATTTCACTGTGTTTGTTTAGTATTAAATTATTGTAAACAAATCTAAAATGTACTTAGTTGGGTTAGGCTAAAATAAATTTTTCTTGTTATAATAAGGTTAGGTAAGTTTTCTAAGTTCCTTTTGGTGCAAAATTATAAATTTTTGCATCAACATTAATGAAAAAAATATATCTTTAAATGTATAAGAGGAAATTTTAGAAAGGACTTAATTTTAAATGAGTTCTTGCTAATTGACCAGATTTACATATTCGGCACGACATATATATATACATGTATATTATATATATATATAATATATATATATATATATATATATATATATATATATATATAATATATATATATATATATATATATATATATATATATATATATATATATATCAATAACAACACTGCACTAGCCAAGGACTCGAACCCATGGTTGGTAGGTAAGACACATAGGCAACAGTTAGGCAACTTTATTCCGAAACGTTTCGCCTACACAGTAGGCTTCTTCAGTCGAATACAGAAAGTAGGCAGGCACAGTAGAGATGTGAAGACGTAATCAGTCCATCACCCATCAAGGGTGATGGACTGATTACGGACTTAATTTTAAATGAATTCTTGCTAATTGACCAGTTTTACATATTCGGCACGACATATATATATATATATATATATATATATATATATATATATATATATATATATATATATATATATATATATATATATATATATATATATATATAATATATATATACATATATAAATCTGCCATTCCTCTTTTTTTTAATTAGTTACCATCTGTCAAAGCCATTTATCGATAGACATTTGGCTTTTGTGTGTCCCGTCAAGGAAAGTTCGTTGATGCAGGTGAGGGAGCTCTTGATCTAGGGAATTGGGTCTGTTTTCCCATTCCCTGAATTAAGCCTAAATACCTTCTTATACATTCTCCAGACGCTGTATAATCCCTCCGGGTTTAGTGCTCACCATAATTTTTGTGTTACTGGTCTTTCACTTTTATATACACACAAGACACACGACTGCAACAATACTTATAAATATATATTCTCACAATTTTCGCAATTCCAGACGTAACAAAGGAGATAAAAAAATATACACTACAATTTTGAAGGTAAGAGCGGAGCAAATATCAGAGGCGAGGGGCAGACTACTGGGAGGCGGGGACGTGAATTCAGGTTGTGTGTAGCTTACAACATGATCTAATACATGCAATTCTTATTTACAATTATTACTTAGTATGACATTGTGGAAGTTTGTTGGCTTCAGGAATGATCCTCCTTAATATGCTATTCCACCTAACATGTAGAAAGCTAACTTAACTGCTCTCTGAGTCATCAAGAATATTCTTTAAAAGTATTCATATACGTATGTGCAAAAACTTAACCTGGTGCTCTAATTCGAGTGCCAAACCTTTGTTATGATGATAGTGACCTATATTGGTAAGAGAACATCGAGCACTAACTAGGCTTTGATAAGATCATTTTTATTTACCTTAACTACAAATGGTTTTACAGAATGTTATACATTTATACATTAATTGCAATAAATATTATAGTTTTAGGTGGAAAATTATGGAGATCTAACCTAGACTATCCTAAAAAGTTAAATTGTGACATTTCTATTATGTGGCAGCACTTGAAGAGGCTGTCAGAGCAAGTGCCTTGTTGGAGGGGCTCTGGGCCATGGAAGTTTTTTGTGTCCTCAGAACCATGTTCAACTGAGGCTGTGAATGGGAGTGCAAGTTTTTATTTTAAACTAATAGGATGTAAACCTGATTTAGATGTGAACTGAGGCAGTTTCCAGATATTTTTCCAGGCATATGTTTAATTCGTTTTATTCCTTAAACGCGTGTTGTGTGATCCACACAGGTTTAGAGCTTTTCTTATTGCAATACTAACCTAACAATTTTTATTTTTATTTTTTTTTTCATACCCGTGTCACAGCTCCTGGGCATGTTTACTGGAAGCTCTCGAACCATTTTTAGGACAACGTAGATATTCCATTATGATAAATTTCCTTTAACTACCCAACTAATTTGTTGCCTTATGTCCATGGAAAATTTCTTGCGTAATTTATGTATCAGGCCTTGCAAACATGCATACCAATTTGTACATATTACTAGAGAAACTTAATAGAATATAGATATATTAATTTATGCCCTTGTTTTATACATTTCGCTTTCTTTCCTTATTATAGAAAATAGACTCTCAAACTCCAGGTAAAAAGTATTGGGTGAACATATCACCTGAGGTGCGCATCACCTAAATATGTGAATACATACATTTAATGTACGCTTCATGGTATTTATTAAAGGAAACGTTTCGGCACGAGTGACTTCAGTGCTAATATAGATACAGCTGAGAATGGAGCGTATGTAGTGGCGGAAGCCAGGTAACAAAGCGAAGGTGAAGGTATGCTGTGAGTGAGAAGAGTTTGGCTTTGAGAACCTGCCTAATATGGACCAGAAGGCCTGCGGCAGTGCTCCTATGTTCTAGGTAGTTATCACATGATGGCCGTCTCCAATATGGGTAACTTTTTGTTTACCAAGTGTTTGGATATGGTGAAACTGCCGGACGTCTGTGGGATAGTGTTGGTAATAGCTATTTAGACGGCCTCCAATCATTTCGTCAGACACCCTTCTCCTGCATTATTCTTACTGAGACCTGGCTTAAGCAGGACACAATAGATATCTACCCTCTACCAGGATACACAGCAATTCACAACTGCAGACCAAACCAAGTTGGGGGTGGTATTGCAATCTATTACTCTAACCAATTATCTTGTATTAGCACCACTTGCTTTAGTGATGAATATGGGGAATACATTTTTGCTAATTTTACTGTAAAAAACCTTAAGACACCTATAACAATCGGTGCCATTTACCGGATACCCCACACAAACATCCCAAATTTCAGTGAGAAATTAAAGTCACTAATAACAAACAGACAAATGAATAAGCACCACCTTCTCATAGCTGGAGACTTCAACATCAACCTTGGCTTACTAGATGATCAGCCTGTAACTGATTTCATCAACATTATGAACAACACACTTTTCATGCCAACAATAACTAAACCAACCAGGCTCACTGAGACAAGTGCAACCATAATAGACCACATATGGACCAATATACTAGCCCCCCTTAAATCAGGGATAATCACAGATAGCACTACAGACCACTACCCTACCTTCCTCCTGACAAACATTAATAAACCACCACTTGAATACAACAAAGTCTCATTTAGACTCCATGACGAGGCCTCAATAAGGAAGTTCACAGCTGACCTAGAGATTGTTGACTGGCCTACAGAATTCTCCAAGGCCAATGGTATTGATGACTGGACAGACATTTTTCTTAACAAATTACTTAAACTATACAACAAACATTGTCCTATAAAAACGAAACAGATCACAAACAAACGGCTTGGTTGCCCATGGCTAACCAGTACCATTCTGAAATCCATTGACAAGAAACACCAATATGAAAAGCAATATAGACAGGGCTTAATACACAAAGATATTCTTAAACACTATTCATCAGTTCTCACCAAAGTAATAAAGAAAGCCAAACAACTATACTACTCCAGTAGATTCACAGACACTAGAGGAGATATAAAAAAGACCTGGAAAAAACTCTCTCAGATTCTAGGGACCCACAAACTGAAAAAAAACAAGAATATTGTCCTAACTAAACCTAATGAAACACCACTACATCCCACTGACACAGCTAACAAGATAAACGACTTCTTCTCAACCATAGGATCTAATCTCGCCAATAAAATCCCACATACCAATGCCCATGCCGGGGACTACCTAGATGGGAATTTCCCAAATTCCTTCTATCTTGCACCAACTGAGCCCTCGGAAGTCACCGAGATTATAAAGTCACTTAAAAACAACTCAGGGAATCTGTCTAATGTCCCACCATTACTGTACAAGCGAGCGGCCCCATATCCTTTCGCATGCTATTTCATTACTTTTTAACAAGTCACTAGAAACTAGCACCTTCCCGAAACTACTCAAGATGGCAAGGGTTACACCAATACATAAAGGTGGTGGCCCTACAGACTTAAACAACTATAGGCCAATATCAAACTTACCATTGCTATCCAAAATCTTCGAGAAACTCGTGCACAGGAGACTATATTCATTTATAACAACACAAAACATACTCAACCCCTGCCAATTTGGATTCAGGAAAAATAAAAGCACTGATGATGCAATCATAAAAATGCTAGATCTGCTTTAAACAGCATTGGAAAATAAGGAATATCCACTAGGAATTTTTATTGACCTAAGAAAAGCTTTTGACACAGTAGACCACGACATCCTACTCCACAAACTTGACCATTACGGTATAAGAGGCCATGCGCTTGCTTATTTCAAATCTTACCTTACTAATAGGTATCAGTATGTCACCATTAAAGACACAGCATCAACAACACGGCCACTTGATACTGGAGTTCCGCAGGGAAGTGTCCTTGGTCCCCTGCTCTTCCTCATGTACATCAATGATCTTCCAAACGTATCCCAACACCTGAAACCCATTCTCTTTGCTGACGACACGAC